GGAAGAAAGGCCTGGTAATCTATTTCCCCCAAAGTAGCCACTGACAATCCTATGGAGCACAGTTCTATTCTGACACACATGAGGTCGCCATGAGTCAGAATTAATTCGATGGCAACTGGTTTTCTAATAAGAGATGCAAAACTGGGGAGAAAAACAAGCACTCCAGTATTGATGCTGGGACTACAAATGAGCACACCCTTTCTGGAGGGCAGTTTGGTAATTTGTAACAGTTTTAATGGGCAAACCCTCTATCTAGCAATTCAAGAACATATTCTAGGAATACGTCTAAAGGAGAAAATCAAGTAAACAAATATTTCATACAGGGCTGTTCATCTAAATGATGTTTTAATAGCAAAAACAAATTAGTTAAATAAATTATGGTGCGGTCACTAAGAGATACATTACGCAGTCTTAAAAATGACGAATACAGAATTATTTTTCATTTTTCCTTTTTTGAGACAACTTATTTTAACACGGAAAAAGGTCCATGTTCTATTACACAATAAAAGCAGGCTCTTAAATGTTATACACACTACATACATTTTAAAATCCGTATTTATACTAAAATGTAAGACCAGCAGACTGTCAGTTTCCCAGGCTCAAGAAGAGCGGGTGTCTCCAGCCATTATATTTCAATCATCAAATGCCCTGCTGGCCTTTGCTTTCCCTGAAGTCCACGGGGAGCCACGAGATGGGACACCCTGACTGCCCAGGTGGAGCGCCCCCCCTCCCACGGTCCCCCCTCGCGTGGCTCCCGCCATGGGGATGACCCCCACCCTGCAGAAGGCTCCCACTCCAGAGGCCTTTGGCGCTGGAGGGCCTGGGCTCCCCGGCCTGCCACCATGGCCCTCATCTGTGCTGACCTTTGCGGAGACAGATGTCACAGTACACGTGCCCGCAGTTGGTCAAGCTGAAGCGCGAGGTCCTGTGGGGCGGCTGGAAGCAACGATTGCAGAAAACCCTGCTGGTCATACTGGGCCGGAGATCGTACTGCCGCGGCCACCTGCGGTGCCACGACTTGGCGAGGCCGGAACAAGGCTGGTACACGGACTCCCCGCAGGCGCAGAAGGCGGGCAATTCTGGGCCTGCGCACTTGGGGGCAGGGGAGATCCGCGCCTGCGCACAGGCGGACGGGCAAGCTTGCGCCTGCGCACCAGCGCACGGTGCCTGCTCCCGCCAAAACTCTAAGTGGTCAGAATGTACCAACCTGGGAAGGGAGGAAGGCATGGGTTTGATTTTTCTGGGAGTAGGAGTTTGTTTTGGCTGTAAGTAGGAGGAAGGACACGCAAACGAGGACCTGGCATCTGCCATTCCATCATCACAATTGTGGAGGATTCTTCTGTGGAACAGCATGTGGTAATCAACGCCCCCCCCCCCATGGCCCAACAATGAGGCACGCCGGGATGGTGGCTCATGAGCTGAGGAAGTGCAAGGCAATCGTTCTGAGGAGACGTCGCAGCAGCCGTCCTACAGGTTGGCCCACCAGGCGGGAGAGGCAGCGGGTGACTCAGGAGACCGCCGCGCCTCTCTTCGGCCAGAGAGGGCAAGGACAGAGTGGTGGGCTGGGGCGGCCAAGGGGCAAGGAGGCGGGACGAGCACGGGGTCCAGCCGATCACGGTGGACTGAGTGGACTAGGCCGGGGGAGCCGGCGGCCGCAGAATCACGGGACTCTACGATAGAAATGGCCCAGGACAGAGGCCCCTATAGGCTTT